TGGAGTGGGGGGGGGGGGGTACGGAGGTCTAATGAAGAGCCGGAGATTGGGGGCCATCAAGGCGTCGTCACCACCGACGATGGTTTGCACACCATAACGTTGGTGCGCGTTATTCAACGCAGCGACAAACAAACTAACCCTCGGAACCAAAAGCTCCCGAAAAAAATGATGTCCAGGAGCACAGACACACACATCCACATCCACATCCACCACAAAAGCAACAACACCACCAAAAACAACAACACCACCACCACCACCACCACCACCACCACAACAACATTTGATAGCTTATACTTTCATCCGAAGACGAGACCGCGAGGAGAGAATAGGATGCATACGAAGCTTTGCACAATAGCCTGCTGTATGCAAATGAAACTTACCCTAGACAGGACACATCCTCGGGAAACGACAGCAGGAAGGGCGCGTCCCGGTCGTTCCCTCGCAGGCGGCTGAGGGCCGACACCTCCTGCGCCCACTGCGGCAGGGGATTGATCGCTCGCGGCCCCTCCGGGGAGGATACGTGCCGTCCCCCGTCGAACACGCGGTTGACGACTAGGGCGTGCCGCTGCCCCGGGACACACTCGTGGGCCGTGATTTCGTAGCCGCCCTGGGTGAACGGCAAAATCTGGCGCGCGGTTTGAAAATCCGGGCACGGAATAAGCCGATAGGGCGGGGGGGGGGCGGGGGGCGGGGGCGGGAGGCATGTGCAAACGTTGAGCGTGGGATGAATCAGGGTCGATGGTGAGAAGTACGACGGCAGTCTTGTGGCTGTGTCTTTTGCATGTCGTCTACAACGCATAGTTTCGTAAAACCACGTGTACACGGCAAAAATCTGACGCATGATATTGATTTCCGAGCTATTTATTTAGTAAGATGGAGGGAGGGCAGGCGGGCAGGAACGTGCATACATTGAGCGTGGCATGAACCAAGGTCGTTGGTGGGAAATGCGGCAGTCGTGTGGCATGTCTTTTTTTGCGTATCGTCTTCGCATAGTTTCTTCAAAGCACACGTGCGAGGAGGTCTTTTCTCAGTGCAACTAATGACGCTGGGGTGTGTTCCCACGGGCGTTTGTCTATTAGTGCCTTTCCGACAAAAAAAACAGACAGCACAGACGATGGGTTTGCTCAGTAAGACAAGTCCATTCCGCACACAGCTACATGACTCGGGCACGATGCGGCAAAGCTGGCAACGGTATTCTACCGTATGGGAGAACCACAATCCTTAACACTGAAAATGGTTTAGAACCAAATCAGGTATGGGCTCAGGTCATGCCCTTGAAAAATCAGCGCACGTTGCTCTATATCAGGTTTTCTAAGAAAGCGAACGGACTGGATAAAGCATAGAATCGGCAAAGTTGGGTTTGGGGCTAGGGTTGCGGTCTGCGTGCCCCCTTTCTGGCCTTTCTTCGTAACAAGCCTACTTTCTTTGCGGAGGCAGTCCCTCTATCCCCCCCCCCCTCCCTAAGGTAGTTCCACAGTGATTCCAAATGTCTCTGGAAGTGAAAGCACCAGAAAATAAATTAAGTCATACGCAGCTGTCATCCGTACGCAAGGAAGTAAGCACAAGATGCCGAACACCCTTAGCAGGATGCAGCGCACCCTTCATGCGACTCGTCGAATACCTCACGGCGCTTCACGCTTGGTGATGTGAGAGCCTGGTCCGGTGAGAACCCGGCGTGCTCCGTCCCGGCTTTGTAGGGATGCGAGGTCAATGGTCTAACGACTACGGCATGCACGACTATTAGTACACCCCCCCCCTCCCTCCACCTATTTCACCTGTGCCGAGTCGGGGAGAATGCGGAGGAATGGCTGTCCGCTGACGGGTGACACAACGATCACCATCTCGTCCACGCCGATGTCGAACATCACCGCCAACTCGGCTGGGGACGCGCGCGGGGTTGGGGATGTATGTCACTGGTCTGTAACTGGTCTTTAATTAATGCCATTCTTGACTAGCCACGGAAGTTAAACCGTTTTATCAGGCCACGCATCATCATTTTCTAGACGAAGGCGGCAGTTTTCCCACTGCTTATAGGGGGCGGGGGGGTTGAGAATTCGTATTTCAAACTTGTTGGTGAACGGTGGTACAGGGCAAGCATGCAAAGACACCACGACAGACAACTAACACCCCCCCTCTTCTAAAAACGATGACTGAAACGGCCCCCCGATTGAAAAGAGGGGTCAAAAAGCAAAACCAAGTACTTGCAAAAAAATCTTGGCAACGCATGTCCAACGCCGCCAATAGACGCGTCGACCACTAACAAATCATTGCGAAGACATCGAGCATCAACAACCACCGCACGGCAGCGGCGGCGGCAGGGGGGGGAGGGCACTAGTTGTCATATACTGTACGTGTATGATACGCCGGTGATACTGGTCGCATCTTCTCTGTAAAGCCAGACAACATTAAAAAAACGGGGAGAAACGAACGAAAATAACATCAAGAACAAATGCGAGACCAAATCCACTATAGCCAATATTGGAAACACACAACCGAACCTTTGACGTCCGCCACCAACGACTCCTTCGGAACCAACACCGCGACCCTCCTCGGCTTGCGTCCCTCCACGCCCGGTCCCCCCAGCAGCATCGCCGCGCTGAGGTTTCCGACGCCTTTCCCGTCGTCTCCTGCTGCTGCCTTGGCTGCCGTTGGCGCAGCAGAGGGGTTCAGGAGCGGCGCGAAGTCCAGGATTACCTGGAGGCGCTGTCCGTCCAGGAGCTCGACGGGCATCACGTTGAACTCGTCGAACTTCCGCGATAACTATACATCGATCGCCGACAAAATGCGGAGCGGGGAGTGGGGGTATGGACCATGTGCACGGCTCGTGCGCGCAACCGTCGGGAGGTTTTGAGGAGCATATCCGACGGTTTGTCGACGTCAATGCCACAACAGCAGCAGTAACAGCAGCAGCAGCAACACCAACAGCAGCAACAGCAACAGCAACACGACAACAACAGTAATATGCACAAGAACAACAACAGCACCACCACCACCACCAACAACAACAAACACCAACAAACACAAGGAGAAAAATGAACTACTTAAGCCTTCTTCATACCTTGCCGCACTGCTGGCATTCGAGCGTGCTCTTGAACTGGCCGTACAGACTCTCCACGAGGACGCTCTTGTCCCTCATACCGAACATCTCCCACGACTCTGCTGCGATGATCGAATCAGGCCTCCCGCACTCTCCATCCTAAACACAAAAAAGAAAAACGACTTCATGTTAGAATAATGTATCACGACGGAAGATTCACTTCTTCGCCTTTATGGCAGAGTTGGGAACATAGTGCACCGAGTAGAACCAGAAACATTTACCCATTATTAGGGTTTTAAGATTACCGCAACGACGAAGAAAACACCCTGATCTTCCGGACCCGTCGCGGCGTGCCCCCCGCCCCGTCTTGCAATATCGTGTCCGTAAAATCCTTGTGCGAGTAAGGAAGCAACAAGACCGGTGGCAAGGGGTAGACGAAAAACGACCCCCACGACCCGGCTGTGACAACCGAACCAATCCACAAAATCAGTCAACAAGTTTTACCTCACTGCGGCGTGATACAGGGCTTCTGGATGACGCCCTGTTGGAGCAAAAAAGGCTCAACATTTTGTGTGTGTGTGTGTCGTTTTGAGAAGACCACCACTAAACACGAAATCGAGCCCTCTACGCGAAGTGGCCTGCGCATGCGTCTACCCCAGCCATGCAAGGAACACCTGGTAACGCATACTCTTGACGAAGAAAAGGCGATGATGTTGTTGTGGAAAAGAGGAAAAATAGGTCCGCGACAAACGTTGCGGAGATGCACGACCCTCCGGAGGTGGGCCGTTGGCTTTGAGATTCATATCGTCCCAGTTAGTTAGAAGACGTCCCGGAGAGATGATTCGGCTGAGGCGGCATGTGTGGATACCACCACATTTGGTGGATGACTACTTGCTGCTGCAGTCGAAATTTGGGGCCATCGGTAAGAGCAGATTTTTATGCTCCCGTGCAGGACTGGTGTAACCTCTTCCATGTCATGATTCCTCAACAGATCGTCTCTAGACGAAGAAATCTCCGGTCCACCATCTCACCGGGAGCGTGAGGTAGGGCTTCTTGAGCACCCTGTTGAGGTCCTCGTGCAGCCCGTCCAGGAGGAAGGACAGGACCTCTTGCGAGTCCTGCTGCGAGTAGCCGTTGAACTGCGGGGCGAACTTCGCGATTGCGCTCTTGAGGCCCGAGGGGGACACCGAGCTCCCGCTGCCGAACCACAGCTCCTGCCGAGGACCAGGAAACACGCCCTCCCGTCAGTTGGACCGCTACAATGCACTCAGCAGAGACCGGAACGGAACTTTTTGGGTGGGAAGACAACAACAATCCCCTTCGACTGTGGTTGTATCTCCAACGGGTAGTCTCTCGTTGATGTAGTCTTTCTTGGATTGTATGCATTTCTAAAAACGACGACCACAGATTCGGCCGCATTTGTTGCGGTTGGTGATACAGTACGAGCGAGCGAGCGAGCGAGAGAGAGAGAGAGAGAGAGAGAGAGAGAGAGAGAATGGCATCACGCTGGTCAATCGTTCGTCTCACCTTGAGCACTTGTTCGTAGGCCTGGACAAGTCGCCCGCCCGTCCCTGACGAAAAGGAAGAAAAAAAAAGAAGGAACAAAAAATGCGAAGAAAAACAAACATGGTGATGATCTCTAACAAGGGTGTAGAGAGGAAAAGCTGTGTTGTACCAGGAGTTTGGGTACACAGCATGTTTTCTACACGAAGATAAGCCATGACCGACAGCAGAACACGTTGCATATGCAATACATATAGGGTCAGCATGTGCACTGGAACAGAAAAACAAAAACGGGGACGGGAGCACGCGCATTCGCACCCAACCAAATCTGTTGGCCCGACCGGTGTGAAATAATTTCCTTCCGATCCATAAGATCGTGGTACTTGCGCAAGGCGGAGGGGGGTGCAACACCGTGAAACACCAAAAGAGCCACGGTACAAGCTACGGAGCGAGCCCGCGAATCGAAATCGTCTTGAAGCTGTTGTTTGCTCAAGACGTGTCGCGAAACCGAAACACAAAGCGCGTGGCCTGGTTACCGGTTACCACGAAGGAAAATACGGTTTTGTTCCATCTCCGACCAACCACTTTTATCGGAACACCTCACAAAAGAAAGAACCGAGACACAGGAGAGCGACCCATGACTTCTCACCGAGTGGGTTGGTTAGGTTCAGGTCTTCCTGGAAGGCGTTGCTGAGGACGTGTCTCGTGAGAGGCTGGACGTGGCTGAGGCACTGCACGGCCGAGTTGAGGAAGCACGTGTTTCCCAGGTTGTCCAGGCCCGCCTTTCCTCTAGGCTCCCACGGGTATCCACAGACGAACAAACAACAAACAAGAGCACTTAACATTGTTTTCATCGTGGACGTTTTTTTTCTAGATGACAGCGGCGCTCTTGTTTGTTCTCTTTCTCTCTCTCTCTCTCTCTCTCTCTCTCTCTCTCTTGCTTTCTCTGCCTCTCTCTCTCGTATTCTCCTGCAAAACAAAACAATACAAAAAAATACAACGTGACAACAAACTTGAACACCCCACACAAAGGGTTCACAAGTTGCTCAGTTCCGCTTTCATCCGTCTAGACACCAACAACAGCGGGGTGTAAGAGAGCGCCCAAACCCGCTTTTCGGTGTGAGAATGAGAACCGTTTCTTCGTGAGCTTCCTACATACAGCTCAGACCTGGCACTACGGTTGCACACAACACCAAAACGGGAGCCTCGCGAAAAAAACGTGGGCGTTTGATGCTCAAGACTTGTCAAAAACGAGCGTCCTTTGGAAGGTATGGGCCACGAAATAGCTATTCTGTCCGACGGCGGATGGTAACGCCTTCACAAAAAACGCAAAGACCGTCCGGTACGAAGATCTTGCGAGCGACGGTATATATGCCGGAGGAAAAAAAAATAAAAACAAACCTTTGACAAAGAGCGGAGCAGTTGTTGTCGCGCGCAGCAACTACTTCCATCGGCACGTAGGCAAGTACGTCATTGGTCTCTCGGACACGCTCTCCATCGAACAACAACAAGCAGACCGCATGTTCTTCCACATCATAACCGTCATCTGATTCGAACACGATTCGATCCACTATACCCCTTCACCTCTTGGCCAGCGACAGCCCGGCTCCCGAACCCTTCCCGCCGCAGAACTTCTTGTGAAACCTCCAGTGGGCCTTCTGGCAGGCCGGGGAGCAGTAAGACACCCTGTGCTGCGTCTGCATCGGGGACGAGTAAACATTTGTTGATGGACAAGTTAGTTGATTGGTTGATCGATCGAATGGTGTACCGTGTCAAGGATTATTGCTTGACTGCTGTGCCAACGTGGGTTTGGGATATGTTTTCTGCATCGCTAGGGTTGTCAGGGTTGTGTAGGTGCTGCGTAGAGGCAATAGACGATTATTTAGTGCCAAGACAACCGCCATCACCACAAGCACCACAACAACAACATATTTTCTTCAATAGTGTCGTTGCAGCCCAGCAATTGCCACACCCCGTGTCTGTGCGGTCTTTTGCGCTGATTTCTGCTACCTCTCTCGTCTACAGGCCCTTCGGACAGCAGGAATCGCCGACGAAAAAAGAGATTTTGGACGGAATAAGGAATAAGCCACCCAAGCACCTACTTCTGTTGCCCCAACCAAGCACTAAGCGAACGGTGGACATAGCTAAAACAAAGTGCACAACCAAGAGAAACGGCCAAACCACCAAGAGAGAATGAGGAAAGAAGAGAGAGACCGGGGGGGGAGACAGAGAGAGAGAGGCAAGAGCGAGAGAGAGACAGAGAGAGGAGAGAGAGGCAAGAGATAGACGAGGGGTGGGGAGAGAAAGAAAGAGAGAGAGAGAGAGACGTAGAAGGCAAAAAGAGGCCGAAAACTGTTCGGGAAGTTCAATCCAACTGATGAGATTAGTGCGAGACAACAGTCATCCTAAACCGGAAGAGACGTTTCCAGTTAACGCGAGCCCTGCCTCACCTTGGAGCAAGAGGTGCACTTCTTGTTGGAGGGGGCTCCGCACGCCGCGCAGGGGTACCACGCATCTTCATTCTTCTTTGTCTTCTTGTCTGCACTACCGTCCCCCTTCCCCTCCCCTCTGCCGCCCGCCCGGTCCACCTGCACGCCACCACCGGTACTGCTGCCGTCGTCGCCGCCGTCCTGTGCCCCTTCTGCTACCGCTGCTGGTGGTGCCGGTGGTGCTTCTTCCGTCGGTGCTGGCGGAGGCTCCGTCGATTCTCCCCCTACCCCATTCCCTACCCCCTTTCCGTCTACGGAACCCCCGGTGTCTTCTTTGCTATCAGCTGCTGCTGCTGCTGCTGCTGCTGCCACAAGAGGGCTCTTTTCGACGGGACTACCGTTGGCGATAGGACCGTTGGAGATAGGATCGCCGTTGGCCGTAGGTTTGTCGTTGGCCAAATCCTCGTTGGAAGGGGCGTCGTTATCACCAACAACGCTACTGCTGCACACAGTGGCTGATCTTAGGACCGGATCTAGTCGTGAAAACTCCTGGAAGTGAGTCGGAATTCAACAGGGGAGGACATGGAAAGGGGCAAGGGGAGCGTGCGCGGGGGGGGGGTGAGATGGAAAAACACGAAACACAACGACAGTAACGCTTCTTCGATCAATGATGACCATGTCTTTGTAGGGGCCCTCGTCCAGAATGCAAGTGGGCGAGAGAGATCTTCGGGGTAACGGGGATGGGATTGGCGGGATACCCAGATACCGCTAATCTTTGGATGACTACTGTAAGCATCAAACAACGCGTGACTGCCGACGGCAATCCAAGTACACAGCAGTGGGCGCATCACACCCAACAACAAGCGCCAACAATACCAACACCGTATGAAAGCCAACCATCAGCACTACTCCCAAAACAAAACAAATACTACGGTAAACTATCACGCCCACAGCTCGAACTCAACGGTGTCCATGTAGTATTATACTACAAACACCCCCCGACGAAGCGGGTTCGAGCGTCGTACGTATCCCCGCGCTATGCCAGAATAAAGAAACGCCGTCGCTAATCTCACCGGGAAGAGCTGAGGCTCGAACACGACACGCCCGGAGTCGCTATCTCGGATCGGCACCAGCGCTCTTGGCAACGCGGGCCCCCCACCATACCTGCATCGCACCGCATTGCGTTGTTGGGTCGGATTGAGAAACCGTACGCGGGGGTGGAGCAGCCGGGAGGATCCACTTGCAACTTGTTTGAGTTCTATGTATATGGCCACTGACTTGACAGCTCGACTCTTACGAGAATGAGTCATTGTGTAGGGAAATAGTTACAAGGGGGTGAGACTGTTTTATTCGCTTGCACAAGTCGTTTGGCCATGGACAATGCACCACACACGACACGGGGCCACGTCGATCCTAGTCCCATTGTAATAGAGATACTGCCAACGCTCGGACGCCTTCTGCCCTACTTTTCTGTCATAGGTTAGGGGGGAGGTTTGGAATGGTGGTGGATCAAGTATGCGGTATGCGGGCATGCGTTTGTGTGAAGGCGCAGCGAGCATTGAAAACGGAAATATGCTATTTCTGACTCTGGCATGGCAGCGAAACCGACACCTCTGTCACACAGGAACAGCACGACCAGCAATTAACAACTTTGAAACGCCAGCTTGGTGTACCTTGGTACCACGTACGCAGTGGACGAAAAAAGAGGGCAACCCGATCGCAGTAAAGAGACACGACAAAATTTCGAGGACGACAAACGACGTGCACGTGCACCGCACGACACGAGAGAGATGTGACGCACACAGGAAGGAGAGACAGACAGACAGACAGACAGACAGACAGACAGACAGACAGACCGACGACGACCAGACAGGCACGTGAAATCGAGACACTTATAGAAACAGAGAAAAAAAAAGGTGGACAACCAATAACAGGCACGCCGAACAAACAACTCACCACGCGTGCAGAGCAATCCAGGCCTCCTGCGGAACGAGGACAAAGTGGTACCCCCGAACAAGACGCAACCGGAGGCGTCGCCCCGTCCCGGGGATGGTTCCCGGTGTCCCCGCATCCAAGACCAGCTCCGAGTTATCGATCGGGCCAGGGTGTGCTGCGGGGGGTTCGACTCGTTGCGGAGCTGCTGGTTGGTTGGATGCGTCAGGACACGAGAAGCAAAGTTTCGGCCGTCAGCCATGTTGGGAAAAACACGGGAAGATTTGATGTATCAGAGGTTTTATCCTGATGATGCGTCGCTATGCTGGAGCAAGGCGCGTGGGCGATCGATTGTGCACACGCCGAGACTAGCGACACCGGCACCAGCACGAGCACCGGCACAGTGAACACACGAAAAAAAAACTATCAGAACCGACAGCCAAGTTCCCGCCACCGGCTGAAAATTACCAGCAGGCAAACCGCTAACATTATTCTCGACACCGTGAACATTATTCCCGGGACCAGCGTCACCAACCAGCCCAAACCAACCCCACACTACCACTACCAACCCCAACCACGCCCCCCCCCCCCCCCCCCCGCTGCACGCAAGGTTGAATGTCCCAGACTGCTGATTGATCCTTGTGAAACGCAGTAGCCTGATCCGGCGAAAACCCGGCATATCGCTCCGTCCCGGTATTGCAGGGATGCGAGGTCAATCGTCAAACGGCTACGGCATGCGGTTACATGGGTACACCCCGCCCCAACCAATTCAACGCGCGGAGCCGCGGCTCACAGCTACCTGTCTTTTGATGGCCGTTTGTTCCCGCCTCGCCGTCTTTCTCCACCGGCCCCTCGCCACCGTCGCCGTCTCCCATGGCGGCACCAGAGCCCGCAGACGCAGGGTGGGGCACGATATTAGCATCACCCCCTACCTCCTCGGTGTTTTCGTCTTCTCCCGCCGCCGTCGCTTGTAGCCCCCCGCCATCCCCGTTCTCTTCCGTTACTGTCGCCGTTCCTCCGCGGGGCGGTGCTTCTTCCTCTTCTACCGGTGACGAGTCAAGGTCAGCCGCCGGGCCAGCACCGGTGCCTTCGGCGAGGGTGCCGTCCGGGTCTGGCCCCGCTGCCGCCGCCGCCGCCGCCGTCGCCGCCGCCTCCGCATCGGGGTCTGCCGTTGCCTGGTCGGCATCGGCGTCTGCTGTTGGTTGGGCGGCACCTGTTGTCTCGGTGTTGGCAGCACGAGGAGCGGGAGCGGGGAGACCGGTTGTACCAGCGGTAGCACTGGAACTGGCAACACCAGCCTTACTACCCGAAGCGTCTGCAGCATCAGTCGCACCAGCAGCATCAGCAGCGGCGTCATCAGCGGAACCAGCAGCGACAGCGCCACCAGAACCAGCAGCTGCACCATCAGCAGTATCAGCAGCGACTCCATCAGCAGAACTATCAGCGGCAGCATCACCGGCAGCATCAGCGACACCAATACCACAACCAGCAGGGGCAGCATCGTCTGCAGCAGAAGCAGCAGCAGCAGCAGCGCCACCTGCAGGGTTCTCTACAGTGCCGCTGCGAGCTTCGCCCACGGCATGCGCGTGCTCGTCGCACCCCGTGTAAAGCTGCCACCTTTGCCACCACTTCTTGTCCAAGACCGCCCAGATGTTACCCTCGCAATCCTGCGTTTTTCGGTCCGCACAAAGAAGAGAACGACCACACACGACAGCACAAGCGAGCGGGAGAGAGAGAGGGGGGGGGGGGGGGGGGGGGAAAGGGGAAAAAAAAAAGGGGAAATTTACCCCAAAAAAAAAAGGGGGGGCAAACACCAAGTAAAACTTTTGGAAACCTCTGGGC